CAGGTACCTTTTGACCCTGTTGACACCAGCAAGACGTTGGAACACTTCTGAATGAACACCTGCTGAGAGGGGTGGATCTCATCCAGATCCAAAGAGAAATGGACATCTGGCTATGAGCATGCAGTGTGGCCTTCTGTACCTCCCAAATATTTGTCATACAGGTACCACTGCTTACATCCATACTTAACTCAGTATTCAGCAGGAGATATATGGCTGTTGGCCTTTATGTCCATCATGAATCAAGTCTCTGTATTTGACAAACCTGCTTTGAAAAGTGTTTGTGAACTCTGCCTTTAAGGACAAATCGCATTTTTGATACCAAAATCAGATTTTTACTAATATCTCTTGTAGTATCCTAGGGCTCCCCTCTACGATGGGTGTTATTTTATATTTGCAGCACATCAGACATCTAGTGATTGTTTTCAGAGCAGATGACAACATTTTGTAGTGAGCTGGTATAGCTCTAGAAAAAATGTTTTCACACTTGAAGCAGCTCTGCAGACTTGGAGGACTGGAACTGGGCAGAAAGGGTGAATATGTTATCTTCCTTTCAGCCCTTCCTTGAACCTGGTGCAGTCAGGGGGCTGTATTGGATCTCAAAAAGCAGATTTTTTTGCTGTTCTTTGTGCCTCTTTACAGTGATGTGTGAAAATGAGCATCCTTCCTCCTTTAGCTTTAGCGCACACCAATCATTGCACCTGAAAGTCTTCCTTCTTCAGCCATTCTGTAGGCAGGTCTTCCCACAGGGAGTGGTAATGAGGGAGCCTAGAAAACAGCAGTCTCTTTTCCTAAAATCTGCTCCTCAGTAGGAATCTCTTCCTCCATAGCACGGTAGATTGCAAGTAGGCATTGATAATCAGGCCGCCTACTTCTCACCACTTTTTATATTTCGGGAGACATATGGTGGCTGACGCATTTCCTGATGTATACTCAAAAATCACATCAGTTTGGATGCAGGACCTCTGATTATGGACATGGAGCTACAGACAATTCATTTCCCTGCTGTTCTGCAGCATTTTCAATGAACTTTGGTGGTTCTTGTTCTCACCTGATATGTAGGGAAAAAAAAGGCAGGGAGGAAGCCAATGGTTTGCTCCTTGCCTTCTGGGCAGAACAAATGGTGAATGGAGGTGGCCTTAGTTTCAGATGAATGTTTGCTCCCTAAAGCTACCCTCTGACCTGGCACAGCTTTTATAATACTGATCAGGCCATGATTTTAAATTCTCTTGTTCTGGGGATGGTTGAGACTTTCCCATGTTTAAGGATATATCATACTGCATTCTTCTCTTTATATTTCTTGGAAAATAAAAGGTTTCTGTAAGCCAACAAGAATTTCCCTTGTAAGGTTTCTGGAACAAAATGTCTTTTTTTCTTAGATTATTAATATGGAAGTGATTGGACAGCTGTCATAGGAATCCTCATTTGAATAGATGTCAGCAAGAAGGAAAGAATATTGCTTCATGCAGGTAATTTAAAAAACATCTTAGAATCTGTTCATTGGTTCAAAACTGCCAGAAGAGTTAGTGGAAAAGGAGCAAGAGACACTGATATATTCAGGATCCCACAGCTAAGCACTTTACATAACAGACCTTACATATGCTGAAAAGTAAGGTGGTGAAGCAACCCACCAGAAGCATTTCTCCTCCTCTAGCTCTTCTCTGAATTTGCCTGCTTGGCCAAATTCACACATTTCTCCTGTCTTCACAGGTGCAGTGATACCAGCAGCTATTTTTGCTCTTAGCTCAGGGCAGCATTTCAGCTGCTGGACATCTGCACTAAACTGCTCCTTTCCTTTGCTGGCTTTGCATCCCGGTGTCCTCTAGAAAAATGCTGGGAATGTCATCTTCCATCCCTGCCCTCCAGCAACACAGGGGCAGGAGAGGGGGCAACCTCTTCTCCCTGAAGGATTCTTGTCCACCTCTTCTGAGCCATTATGAGCTTGTTTTTAGGAGGTGGTAGCTCATCTTCCTGGCTTCTCTGCAGAAAGTGGAGGAGTTGCAGGTGGTTGTTCTCTGCCTGACCAGGGTGGGCACCAAAGGGGAGCCAGTGAACCCAAAGGCTGCAGTCAGCCAGAAGTTAAGACCAGCTGCCTCAGAGGAAATAAAAATGTCTAAGTGATGTGAATGTCATGGTTCAGAGTGGGATGGGAGAAGATGTGAGTCCCCACCAGGAGCTGGTAGGGAGACATGTACATTACCACCCAAACCAAAACTGTGGGTCAGGATTTTCTCCAGACAGCAGCTGCAAGGTGGAACAAATTGCTCTTTCTACTGTTCCCTTTGGGTTTTGTGTCTGTTGCATGGGATGGAGATGCTATTTTTTTAGAAGGACATTTTGTGAAACTGAAACTGGCTGCTCTTGAGATGTTTCCTTGTGAGGGTGCTGAAATGAAGGTGAAAGGGTGTTTCACATGCAACTGACTGCTCTGGGCCCAACAAAAGGTGAGCCAAGCCATTCCCACACTTTTAGGTGTTTGATGGGAGAAGAGTTTGGAATTACCAAACTGAGGTGCAGGAACTGTTGTTCCTGGCCATCCTGAACCTAAATCTGGTGAGTACTTCCAGTGTCAATGATAAGAGCAAGTGGCAGTAAAGTTTTGTTATAACTGAAATCTGCTGCTCTCTCCACTAGGGCTGAAACCAAACATCTGCATGCAACTTGGCCAAAAGCGGAAAAGGAACAAAAGACACAGATGTATTCAGGATCCCACAATCAGGATCCTGTTGTCTGGATCTAGAGACCTGCTGAACCAGTAGCTTTGAGAGCCTTTTACAGTCCCTGCTTCACCAAGGAGTGGTACTGTCAGGGTACCACCAGCCCTGTCTTCCCTGCCCTGCATTTCCTGGGGCTCCCCCAACCCTGTTCTGGTCCCAGGAGGCCATTCCTGCCCCCTTGGAGCCATCAGCCCCTATCCCAGCAACACAGAAATAGGGCCAATCTCAAGTTCCCCAGAGTCCTGCCTGGCCATGGTCCCACTGCCCCAGGGAGTATCCAATGCCCAGAGCCCCTCTCTGGGCCTGATCCTGATCCCACCTGCAGCTGACTTCTTGGCCTTGCCTCTGTGTGTGTATGGCAGGGAGCTGAGGTTTGTGGCAAATTAAAAGTTAAAATAAGCAGACAAATTCATTACATTTTGAACAGGTTTTGGGGTTTGGTTTGTTTTTGGTTTTTTTTTCTTTATGAAATTAGATGAATCATCTCTGAACCTTTTTTTTTTGCTGACAGGAAATGTTGAGAATTAACACCTACAGCTGGGCCTCAGCAGGAGAAGGGTAGAAAATGTGAATCAGACTAAAATTGGAGGATCCAAGCAACTGTATTTTTAAGAATTGTGAATGACTCTCAATTCTTCTATCTCCAAAACAGAGATGGGCTTTACATGTTTGGGAAAGTAATGGCAAGGTGAAATGAAATGCAGTTAAGTGTTCATGTGGAAAAATCATAAGGAAGGGGAGGAATAGGAGAAAGAATTCAAGAAGGATTATCCTCAGTATGAATACAAAAAGCTGAACACTGCACCTTTGTAAGATCCTCTTCCTAGGACTTTTAATGTCATCTATGGTGGCCACTTGGCTTTGTGCTCTAGAGCCAAATATCACAAAAGGGAGATAGAATAATTGGAAAGCTACCATGATTTTGCATTTTTTTTAGTTAGCTAGCAGGCACTAAGTTTGGTTTGGATTGCTATATATTTTTTCAAGTTAATAGGCATTTGTTAGTGGTTATAATAATCTATACTTTCCATGCTGGCTGGGAAGTGCTCTAAGGGGCTTTCAGATCTGATCTCTTCCAGTGCAAGCTGGCTCCCATTGATAGTACCTGCAAAAAATAAATTGTTCTGTAGTATTTGCTGGCAGATAGTTTGACCATGACTGGAGTAATGATCTCTGGTGCACAACTTCAGGTTGTTGTGCTGCTAAGCACACAAGAAACATCAGGTTTTGGGGGAGGAGGGTGAGCCATGAACCACAGTCTTTGTGTATTTACTACTCTATGAGGTGATGCCGTATTCCTGTCTCCTTGTAGGGCCTGATTATTCTCTTATACTTCTGCATCCTTCCCCCTATTCCTGCTTGTATATAAAATGATCATGAGATTATATAATCTTTGTACAAATAAGGAAAGGGAATATTAGAAAAAAACAGAAGAGGAAAACCAAGTAAGTAGGAACCCCTAAAATAATCACAAAATTTAGCCTCAAGTTGCTCAATTTAACATTTGATAGAAAATGGTGGAGACAAAAGTGGAGTGAGACAAGGATTACCACAATGTGTGGCAGTGTTGCTGTGGCACATACTGAGAAAGAAGCTTTTCCTCTGGAGATGGTTGGTGTTGTGGTTGGCACCACTATACAGGATTTAGGTATACAGCTGTGTGCCAGCTGTGTGTGTAAAATAAAACAGTCTTGGGAATATTACGTTACAGGCTGGAGGGAAGTGTGCTATTGTGTTGCATTATTACACTTGTAAATAAGATTTGCAGAGAATGGGGGAGGTAGAAAGACTTCTGTCCCAGCACAAGTATTGGCACTGGTGATTGCAGAGTTGGTGAGTACAAAAACCTGCTTAGACACTGTAACACCTTTAGTTTTTGAAGGACATCAAGGACTCTACCAGACCTAGATGGATCAGAGCAGACACACAGTCATCCACCTGATGGCAGGAAACTTTAGGGGATATCAACAACTCCACTATTCAATTCTTTATGCCCCCTACTACTACATGGAGTAAATGTCATACAGTCAAGTTCTCTTGTCTTTGGAAAATTTCTAGTGAACATTACTCTTTAAGCCATCCCACTTCCAACATGATTTGAGACTCCAGTCCAGAGTTGCTGAATTTGCTGTCTTATTGGAACTCTCTGCCGCATCATAACATCATAATTCCTCACCTAGGGGAATTATGATGTCCTAGGGGACCTCAATGGCAAGGAGGAGTTAGAAAGAAAACATAAATGCAAGAAAAATGTGTTTATTTTCCTAAGTCTTTTTTACCATAGTCATGCAAGAAAATGTCAAAGTGCCTGTATGATGGTTTTTTGAATCAGACTTTGTGAATTAATTGAAGATTAAGAGTCTTCCAAAATCTTCAAGAGGTTGGTTTTACTGTTCTTTAGTGGAATGAAATAGAGGAGTGAGGTGTCTTTTTCCGCTCACAGATTTTTCATCTTGTTTTAATAATGTATTGTCAGCATGATACCTAAACTGTTCAAGTGTGGTTTGTTTACATGAGGTATAAATGCAGCAATCTGGCCCTGCTAAAATATTGATGGCCATTAAATTTGAAAGTAAATGAATTAGGAACTCCTGACAGACACAAAGCTATACCCAAAGTTGTAGCTGGTAAGAATGTACACGTGCTTAGGGGTAGTCACCACAATGTGCATAAAGAGCTTTGCCTCACTTTGTGCTGCAGCCAAAGGCTTTTATGTACAGAAACTGCTGTGACATGATCTGAAGCACAGAAAAAGAAGCAAGGGGCTCTCGCTCGCCGCGCTCAAGAAGGCGCTGGCCGCCGGCGGCTACGATGTGGAGAAGAACAACAGCCGCATCAAGCTGGGGCTCAAGAGCCTCGTCAGCAAGGGCACCCTGGTGCAGAGCAGAGGTCTGGCTCTTTCCGCCTCAGAAAAAAAAAAAAAAAAAAAAAAAAAAAAAAAAAAAAAAAAAAAAAAAAAAAGCCCGGGGAAGCAAAAGAAAAGGCTCCTAAGAAAAACAAAACAAAAACCAAAACCCCACAGTAATCAAGCCGAAGAAGCCGGCGGCTAAGAAGCCCGCCAGCGCCGCCAAGAAGGCGGTGACAGCAAAGAACAGTCTCAAGGAAGTTAAGTCCGCAACCAAGAAGGCAGCCAAGAGTCCCAAGGTGACAAAGGCTGTCAGGCCCAAGAAAGCGGCGGCAGCAGCGAAGAGCCCGGCTAAGGCGAAGGCGGTGAAGCCCAAAGCAGCCAAGCCGAAAGCGGCCAAGGCAAAGAAGGCAGCTCCCAAGTAAACCCCAAGGGGAAATAATCCTGTTTCGTATTTAAATCCAACGGCTCTTTTAAGAGCCACCGAGACTTTCGGAAATGGGCTGAAATGCTGTGGCTGCCGCCGTTTTGGGGAGGGGTGTGGGGGAACCGCAGGCTGCTGGTAAATGTGCTGTTCGAGTCCGGGAACAGCTCGAGGCGCTCTTGAATTGGTTGGGGAGGGTAACAGCGCCTTGGTAGCTCAAAATGCCCACGAGGCGCGGGGATTGGTCGCGGAAGGACCGAGCTGCTTCCTGGAACCGCTGCCAGCCCCGCCCCAGAGCGAAGCAATACAGCGCGGGGCTGGTGCTGTGTGCACGGAGCTGCGTCCGGCACTGACAGCGAAAATGTCTGAGACGAGCATTTCAGAACCTCCCGCGGGCTTGCGCCACCGTAATGAAATTCAAGCTCTTTCTCTGAAATTGTAGGTGGCTCTTAAAAGAGCCTTTGTGTTTCTCGTGGTATAACAGCGCAGCTTTTGTTCTTCAGCGCTCACTTGGCTTTGGCCTTGTGGCTGTCGGTCTTCTTGGGCAGCAGCACGGCCTGGATGTTGGGCAGCACGCCGCCCTGGGCGATGGTCACCTTGCCCAGCAGCTTGTTGAGCTCCTCGTCGTTGCGGATGGCGAGCTGCAGGTGGCGGGGGATGATGCGCGTCTTCTTGTTGTCGCGGGCCGCGTTGCCCGCCAGCTCCAGGATCTCGGCCGTCAGGTACTCCAGCACGGCCGCCAGGTACACCGGCGCGCCGGCGCCCACGCGCTCCGCGTAGTTGCCCTTGCGCAGCAGCCGGTGCACGCGGCCCACGGGGAACTGCAGCCCGGCCCGCGACGAGCGCGACTTGGCCTTGGCGCGCGCCTTGCCGCCCTGCTTCCCGCGACCGGACATGGCTCCTACTGCTGGTGCTGCAAAGGAAACGAAGTCAAAAGCCGAATGCGATAAACTTAACTAACGAGCTCAGCCTTATATACCTCTTCAGCTGTAGGCGCGACTTTCGATTGGTTAAGAAAGGGATGTGCCTAAAACAGCCAATAGGAACGCGGATCCAGATTTGACCAATGGCGATGAAGGGCGTAAGGCTATTTCTCTAAAACTTGCCACAGCCAATAAAAACTTAGCTTACAGGATCCCTAATTTGCATAACCGCCCTATAAATGCGGGCGCCCAGAAGGGCCGCTCATTCTCCGTCCCAGAGATCGTTGGTGTTGCTGAGATCAGAGCGTTCGCTGCAGCCATGCCCGAGCCGGCCAAGTCCGCGCCCGCGCCCAAGAAGGGCTCGAAGAAGGCGGTGACCAAGACGCAGAAGAAGGGCGACAAGAAGCGCAAGAAGAGCCGCAAGGAGAGCTACTCGATCTACGTGTACAAGGTGCTGAAGCAGGTGCACCCCGACACGGGCATCTCGTCCAAGGCCATGGGCATCATGAACTCGTTCGTCAACGACATCTTCGAGCGCATCGCGGGCGAGGCGTCGCGCCTGGCGCACTACAACAAGCGCTCCACCATCACGTCGCGGGAGATCCAGACGGCCGTGCGCCTGCTGCTGCCCGGGGAGCTGGCCAAGCACGCGGTCTCAGAGGGCACCAAGGCTGTCACCAAGTACACCAGCTCCAAGTAGACGGTTTCTGCGCTCTTTCTCCCATCTTTTTAACCCAAAGGCTCTTTTAAGAGCCACCCACTTTCTCAGTAAAAGAGCTGATCCTCTGGCGAATTCCCATCTGTCCCGTTCATTTTTTTTTTTTTTTCGGTGTGGGGCTGAGGGGAGAATGTGCATTTACGGTGTACAAGTATCGTAAATTAAAAGGAAAGCAGGATTGGCAGTGCTTGCGGTAACCTTAGGCTATATCCTGCGTCTGATCCAATGCATCTGAGAACGTTCATAATTCCCTTCAAAAGCCGTAGGAGTCCGTTTTGATGTATGTACACTGTAGTGGAGGCGGGCTAGACAAAAAAATGCTGCCTGTGGTCTCAATTAAAACAGCGGAAGCACGTTCCTGTTGGCTGGTACATGGTATTTCTCTGCTGACCTACGTTAATGGAAGACGATGTGAAGCGGCAGCATTGAAAGCTCCTGCAGACTACCCGGTGCTCTTGTTTTTTGTTCTTTTTTAGAAAACCTACTTCAAGATGGATGCCCACTCCGCTGCCCTGCAATCTCCATTGCCAAGGGTGACTAGGGGAAGCAAAGTGGAAAGATTTCTCGCCCCCAAACTGTGCTGTCCCGGCGCAGGTAGCGCCAAACACAGGCTCCCCTGTGTGGCTCCTTCCCGGCTTTCGTCCGCCCCTGTCTCCCCACCGCCGTTTCCCGCTCCCCGTGCACTCCGCCGCCGAGCCGCGCGCGGGGCTGCGGGCGGGCGGGCAGAGCCGGGGCCGCGCCGCTGCCGCGCTCCGTCCGACCTGAGTGAGGACTGCGCGCAGCCTCCCCGCGGGCGGGCAGAGCCGGGGCCGCACCGCTGCCGCGCTCGGTCCGACCTGAGTGAGGACTGCGCGCAGCCTCCCCGCGGGCGGGCTCGGCCGCCTCCCGCTCCTCCCGCGAGAGGCACCACCCGCCCCTGATTGGTGCCGCTCGCGCCTCGCCGCCCGAGCGCGCGCTTCCCCGGGCCGCGCTCCCCGCAAGGGACGCGGCGCTTCCAGCGGCCCGGGCAGCAGCCGCGACAGCTCGGCGGGGACAGGCAAGGCGGCTGCCGCCCGC